TACAACCAGAATGTAAATAAAAAATAAATTTAATACTATTTTTTTAATTTATAAAACCTCAAGAAATTAAATACCAAGAAACCAAATAATCCAATTAAAACATGGGGTACAGAGCTAAACAGAGAATTCTCAACAGAGGAATATCAAATGTCTGAGAATCACTTAAAGAAATGCTCAATGTCCTTAGTCAATAGGGAAATTCAAATCAAAACAACTCTGAGATTCTATCTTATACCCATCAGAATAGTTAAAATAGATAAAAAAACACAAGTGACAGCACATGATGGTGAGGATGTTGGTGGGAGTGCAAACTTGTACTTTGGAAATCAATCTGGCACTATCTCAGAAAACAGGGAATAGCTATACCACTCCTAGGCATATACCCAAAAGATGCACCACCATGCAACAAGGACACTTGCTCAACTATATTCACAGCAGCTTTACTTGTAACAGCCCAAATCTGGTAACAACCTAGGTATCCCTCAACCAAAGAATGGATAAAGAAATTGTGGTACATTTACACAATGAAATACTACTCAGCTTTTAAAAATAAGGAAGTCATGAAATTTGCAGGCAAATGGATAGAACTAGAAAAGATCATCATGAGTGAGACAACCCAGACTCAGAAAGACACACATGGTATGTACTCACTTATAAGTGAATTTCAGCCATATAGTACAGGATAACCATACAACAACTCACGGACCCAAAGAAGGTAACTAACAAGGAAAACCCAAGGGAGGATGCTTAACTCCCACTCAGATATAGAAATAGAATAGACAGCAAAAGTGGTTAAAGAAAGGGAACAGGATAAGAGAGGGAACACAGAAAAATGAGAGTTGATATCCGACCTGGGGAGAGTGGGGGAGGGTGGCTCACAGAGAGAAGAGAAACCTTTGGCAGGGACTTCTCTGTGACAAGCTGGAGACATATGACAGAGTAGGTTCCTGGGAGGATATAAGGGTGACTCTAGCTGAGACTCCTAGTAACAAGGGTCATGGAGATTGAAGAAGCCACCCTCTAACTAGACAGGACTCCTAGTAGAGAGAGGAGAATGCCAACCCACCCACAATAACTTCAACCCAAAATTTACCCTGCCTAAAAGATTAAAAGATGTACAGAGACAACATAAAGCAGAGAATGAGGGAATGTCAAACCAATGACTGACCCAATCTGAGACTCACCCCCTGGGAGACAGCCAATCCCTGACGAGATTAATAATACTCTGCTATGCTCACAGACAGGACTCTAGCATAGCTGTCCTCTTAGTGGCTCTACCCATTACCAGATTGAAACAGATGCAGAGAGCCACAAGCATACAGAGGGTGGAGCACAGGAAGCCTCATAGAAGATTGGGGTAAGGATAAAAGGACCCAGAAGGGACAAAAGCTCCACAAGAGGACCAACCAACCAGGGCTCAGGGGGTGGAGAAGGGAGTAAAGACTGAAGCACCTAACCAAGGACCATGCATGTACTGGACCTAGGCCTCCTACACAGAAGTAGCGTAAGGGCAGCTTGGTCCTCATATGGGTCCCCTTGTAAGGGGAATGGGGGCTGACTCTGACATGGATTCTTCTGCCTACTTTTGATCACTTTCCCCTGGTGGGGTTATTTCACCAGGCCACAGGGGAAAAGGATGTACTCAGTCCAGATAAAAGTTGATATGCTGGGGAGGGCAGGTAGGGGAGGGGATTCCCTTCTCTGAGAAGTAGAGGAGTGGGGACAGGGGAAAACAGGAGAGGTTGGGACCAGGAGGAGAGTAGGGAGGGGGCTATGACTGGGATGTAAAATGAATAAATAAAAAATAAATTTAAAATTTAAAAAAAAAAAGTATACTGACAGTGGCAGTTTAAATGAGAATGTGCCCCACAGGCTTAAATGTTTGAACACTTGGCCCTCAGTTGGTAGCACTAATGGGGAAAGTTTAGGAGGAATGGCCTTGCTGGAGGAAGTATACCACTGGAGCAAGACTTGAGGTTTTAAAAGCCACATATACCATTCCCAGTTTGCTCCCATCTCATGCTTATGGTTCAAGATGTGAGCTCTCAGCTATTCCTATCACCATGGCTGATGCTTGTTGTCATGATTCCCTGATGTGATGGTGTTGGATTCTTCTCTGTCTGGAACTGTAAGTCCAAATAAACCCCTCCTTCAATAAGCTACCTTAGTCATAGAGTTTTTATTTCAGCCATGGAAATGTAACTAATACATTGAAATGGTATGGAAAGAAAGACTAAGTAGTGCCTAAGTTTCAATGTAGAGTGTGGCTAAGTGGAAGACACTGGCTTAGCACATGTGAAGCTTTGGTTTCCATTCCCAGTACCACATAATTCAGATAGATGATAGATAGATAGATAGATAGATAGATAGATAGATAGATAGATAGATGGATGTTAAGTATATGGTGCTTAGATGGTTCTAGGGGTGGGGGGGACAGTCTCTGAGAGCACCTATAAATATGTATCTCAAAGCTAACTTTAAACTGTGGTACACATATACTGTTTTAACAGTGACTATAGCAATGATTGAGAGCTGGCAAAAAAGATCAGGGAAGCACACCTTTGGGTGCAGGTGAGGAAGTTTCCAGAGAGGGTTAACAGGCCAGAGGACCTGCCCCGAATGGCTGGGAGTCTGGATGAAGACTGGATAAAGAAAATGGAAGGTGGCAAGAGCATCTTTTTCCACTTCTTGACCATACCATGCCCTCCCCACCATCATGGACAAACAGCACTGAAACTGTGAGCAAAAAAAATTCTCCTCCCTTAAGCTATTTATGTCAGATATTTTGTCATATAACAGAAATGACAGTGTAGCTGTGAGGTGTACTAAATCCTCTGAGCAACACAGCTGAGTAAAACACTGAGTCAAGGCTCAGGCTGAGGACACACAGTCACAGATTTGCCCAGCACACATGAGCACACATGAGACGTGGACTTCCATTCTCATCCCACAAAATAAAAACCACCACCTCATATTCATCTCCACCTGAAGAACTCCATCAAGTTCTCCATGCTCAGAGCATTTCTCAGAGGCTCCTGGCAGTGACTCCCCTTCCCCAGGCATTACCATTCCCCTGGTTTCAGTCACCAGTCATCGCATTGTTCTTAAACTTTCTGCCCGTGGGGTGGAACAAAATGACCTCTTGGCTTGGTATTTCCCTATCACTGTAGCATAGGAGCTTTATCTACTTGGTATGGGGTTGGGCAGCTCATCCCTTGCTACAGCAGCGCCATGTCTAGCATACCACAAGTTATTTGGGTATGTGTATGTTAATATGCAAATAGGCCAAAGGTCAATGTTGAACCTTCCTTGATCTCTTTTCTACATCATGATATCTAAGACAGGCTCTCTCATTCACCTAGGGGTCACTCATTGGCTAGACTGTCTGGCTCATAAACCCCAGGTATCTTTCTGTCTCTGCCTCCCCAGCACTGGGCTTATGAACACACTGTTAAAGTCTTCTAAAGTCCGATTGCCAATGTCTCTGCTTTGGCAGGACCTTTCTTTAAAGAAAAAAAAAATTAATTTACACTTATTTTGGAGGGCAGGGAGCATTCATGCATAGAGGTTAGAGGCAATTTGAGGAAAGCAGTTTTCACTTTCCACCATGTGGGTCCTGCTTGGTCATCAGGCTTGTCAGCATCTTGATGGCCCAGGCTTGGCTTTTTCTAGGGATCAAACTCAGGTCTTCATGCTTGCAAGGTAAGCACTCAATTCCTCCATGAGGCCCTAGATCAAACCATTTCTAGTTCCTATACTATAGTATGCCTGTTCTAAACTGGAGCCTTCAGGAAGCTTTCCAAGCACACATGAGTCCATTTACCACATTTTGGTAAATGCAGCTAAGATGTTCCATTAAACAGCTGGCACTGATTTAAGGAAGCTACAAGGGAGTGGACCTCTTTTGCTCTACAATTCCATCTTTCTTTATGGTGATGTCACTGACAAACAGTGTTATAGGGTCTAGGTATGGGACAGGATGGCAGCACCAAGGTTCCAAGATCCTAGGTGACAAGAATTCACTATTTCTTATTTTTAATTTTTTTTCTTTTGAGTCAAAATCTTGCTATGTAGCTTTGAACTCTCCATCTTCCAGTCTTAGTTCTCTGAGTTCTGGGAAGACAAGCAGGTGCCACCAGGTGTTAGTTTACATTGCCATCATCCCCCACAACAATCTCAACAGCCAAGCTTATGAATGACTATGCCTCAGCTGGGGCTCTGAGCACATGCCTCAAAACCACACAGACCCAGAGTTCCACTCTTGACTTGACCAGATGAGAAAGTATCTTTCTCTCTTGAGTCTCTACCCATTCATCCGTCACCTGAAAATCTGTAATCTGCATAGAAATGACCCAAAAAGTATACATATGTAAAGAAAAATAGTGGTTTCTACAGAAGAGACAAGGCATAAACCAGAACAGGCTACCCTCTCCCGGAGGAAACTGGTGCTCTGAGGCACACTGTGCCCTGCCCTCCCTTGCAAATAGCAGTGGTCACACAACTGCATTTGAGGACTAGATGACTTAAATGGGTAATTCTGATCCAGGGGCCATAGGTTCTCTGTTCTGTTCCCTTGTGTTAATCTCAGTATCTGAACTATAGCTATGACAGGTATGATGAGCATTGTAGACAATGAGACCAACTTAAAGACTTATGTGAAGCAGAACCTGAGGTGTTGACTGACCCATAGGGCCCCACCAGTCTCAAAACAAGCTACATTCTAATCTGCTATGAGCATCAGCATCCACCCTGATGAGGCTATTTTTCATGTCTCCACTATAGAATTCTACATTTCAGCCTAATAACAATTGTCTTGGTAGCTGTGAGCTTTCCCCATAATATACAACTAAAGAATAACACCAATGAGGAAAAAAGTGCATTTGGCTACTGCAAACTAAAAGCAGCCCACTTAAATATTCACAACAAACCAGAGCAGAGCTGACTGCAGTGGTTACGTTCTCACCAGCCCTCCAGGGGAAAAGGGAGCACCTGTGGTTCACCTGCACAAAGAAGTAGACAAGGCCCAAGGGTGGGATGATGACAGCAGCAATGGGTGTGGCCAACAGGATGACAATGACAGCTCCAATGACGCTGAAGAGTGAGCCCATGAACATCTTGATGACCTGCGGGATCATGGAGTCCACCGTGTCCAGCTCCTTGGAGAATCGGTTCACAAGGTTCCCACTGGGTGTACGCTCAAAGAAACTCATCGGTGATCGCAGAACATTGTGCAGCAGGTCCAGGTGGAGGTGACGAGAGGCAAAGATGCCCCCAATGGACACAGCCATGGAGTAACCAAATACTGCCACCCCTAGGATAACAACAGAGATACGCGTGTGAAATATAGAAGTGTAGGCTGCAGGCTGGCCCTAGGTGTCTTAGCAAGCCAGTGATGGTGGCCCTCTGTCACCAGCACTGACAGTGTACTATGCCCTGTTCTGGGGTTTCTGAAGAACTGAATTTCCCTTTAATTTCAATGAACTAAAATTCAAATCACTTCCCATAACTGGTGGCTACTGTACCAGGCAGCTTAGCTCTAATAGCAGATGCTAATGCTGTGTGAACTCAGGAAAATATCACACCCTCTCTGTTCTTTGCTTTTTCTCAAATATAATATGAAGGCTACTGCAGTCCTTGGCTCTGTGGGAGAGGGGTTGGGGTTATAAACACAGAAACTCAAGGCATCACGTCTGATCTTCTGACGACTTGTTCCAAAGCTACCTCAGAGACCAGGAGACATCCTCCGAACAAAATTCTTTCTGGACTTCTATCTAAGCCTCTTTCACCAGGAACTGGGGAAAGAAAGGCTCTGGAGCTAGCACTGACAATGTGAGTCATCTCATCTGTAAAAGGGTACAGTGACACTCAGCTCAGAGCCACAACCAATACTAAGTGCCTTCCAAGCAGCGTGCTCGGATACAAGAGAAACTCATATACTAAGAAGGCTTACTTAGTGCTCAAATGAGTGAATCAAGGACAGGGAAAGGACATGTATGTACAAAGCAGTTTTATGAGCACCTAGACCTACAGGTAGTTCACATCCTGCCTGGCACAGCTTCAGAGTGAGCTACAGAGATGGGCTGCTTCATTCAATGCCAGCTCAGCCAGCAATTAGCCCTAAGGTTTGAGCTGTGTGGCTCTGTGAAGAAAGGACTGGGATGGAGGATGGGCAAGAATTCAGCAAGCATTTCAGGGTCTACCTTGTAACAGGCTCTATCCACCTGGTCTGGTTCAGTTTGAGGGTGTAAATTCCCTGAAAACTTGGAGACTGTTATGAAATTCCGCATGAAGCAATCACAGCCATACCTTGCAAGATGCCCAAGGCCCCATAAACACTTAGTCGGAAATTCCTGTGTTCCTGAGTCCCATTGACAATGGGGTGGTCATCTGTCCAGAGGCTCAGCCAATAATTGGAGGCCAGTGCTGACACATGGTTGCACAGGAAAAGGAAGATACTCAAGAAGGAGATGAAGAGGCCAATGGCCTTCATGTAGTTCCAGTACACTGACAGCTGCACCTAGGACCCAAAGAGTGGCAGCACGAAGTTAGCATCTCCTATATGACTCCTCACAGCCCAGCTGACCCTCCTGTGACCAGGCCCTTGATACCCTGCCACCCCACCAGTCAACGCAAAGCCAGGCTTTCTGACTCCCACAGACCTTCCAGTCAAGCACTGGACAGGCTAATGCTCCATTATCACCCACTCAAACACATAAGCACAGAGGCACAGAACTCCATGCAAGTGTCCAGGAAGGTAGGTACCAGGGGAGGTTTTCCCTGAAGAAGTGATGTTAAAGAATTTAACATCAGCTGTGAATGGCAAACAGGAAGGGAAGGGGATGACCCTCAGGTATAAAGACCATGAGGTCTGAAGGAGCTCAACATATTTGGGGAATTGAAGTAGTTGCACCTGCCCTATCTGTAGCCTGGGTAGTCCCATTCAATACTCCAGGCTGCTCACAGCCATGAGCATGGCCATACACTGAAGTACCAACATGGAGTCAGCAGCTCAGATCCCAACTCTTGCAAAAGTCATTTTGCCACACTGACCATGGCTTCAGCAACTGAACATAGCACCATGTCAGGCTTGCTGTCAGACACCAGGAAAAGCACTGTACCCTGTGCCTGGAATTTTGCCTCACTCACCTGCCCTGTCTGCACCTTGTCTGCTTCCATCAGCTTCCAGGTCTCCTCCTTGGTTCCGGTCTTCTGCAGTTCAGCCATGCTACTGTGCTGTTGGCCAGTATCCCCACTGTGGGAAGAAGAGCTGCTGAGATGCCTATTGCCAAGGAGAGTAGGGCGTCAGTCAAAGAAAAGCCTTAGAGAGTTTAAGCACACATATGAACACACAAACTCGTTTCCCTATGGCACTACCCAGAAAAACAACTTTCTAGGGAAAGGGATGTGTATGTCAGGAATGAGGGCTGCTGTAGCACATGTGAAGAGCAATGGGCAAAGTGTGTGGGAACACTCTTTCATGTAAAGCAATTATTTGGAAGCTGGAGATATAGTTCAGTTGGTAGAATGCATGAAGCCCTGGGTTCAATCTCCAGCACTGCATAAACTAGGCAGAGTGGCACACACATGTAATCCCAGCATCAAAGAGGTAGAAGGAGGAGGATTAGACATTCAAGTTCATCCTTAGCTATTTCCCCAGTCCAAGACCAGCCTGGGATACATAAGACCCTGCCTTAAAAAAAAAATAATAATAAAATAAAATGAAATGAAATAAAATGAAATGAAATAAAATAAAATAAATGAAATGAAATAAAATGAAATAAAATAAAATGACAAAATGAAATAAAATAAAATAAACCCAAAGAGTCTCCTAGAAGCAGGATAGAGCTTAGGGCCACTGGCTCAGAGCTCAAATCTGAGCTGGGCATCTGTAGAGTTGCACAACTGGTAAGCCTGTCTGTTTGATGTGAGATGAGAACAGGCCAGCAGCAAGCTAGAGCCTACAACTGTGCCTAGTTCCCAAACCAACATCATCATTAGTGTGACTGTCTGTGATTACATGCTGGCTCACAACGCCCAATGTGTCAGGCCCTGCCTCGGGTCCCTGAGAAAGGACCCAAATCATACAGAAGGCAAGTTTCTGAAGTAGGAATAAAAGGGCAGGCCTGTGTGAATTGTAGGTGAGGGCAGGATCCTTCCTGGGAAGGTTCTTCAAGAGTGAGAAGGCAAGCATAATGTACAGGAATTGCCAAATCCCTGGGAGCAAGGGTGGGTAGAGGGCAAGCGCCACCTGTCCCTTCTCAGTTCCCACAGGCAGACAGGGCCAGGAGGAACTCTGGGCCAGGCACCCTCCCGGTGCTTACCTCTGCAGGTGTTTCCCCACCGTATCTGTCACCAGCATCCCATTCTCCACTGGCTTTGACTCCTTCCCTAAACCACTGACACCTGGCAGAAGATAGGCAGAGGGGAGAATGTGTCATTGGGCAAGGCCAAACAAAAGACCAGGAACCCAGTCACTTCCAGAGGAGACAACTGTGACTTTGGCTGCCAGGGAGCTTGAGAAGACAGAACCAAGTTGTTCTGAACTTCACCCACATCTCAGGCCCTCAGGGAGGTTCAAGGCTCTTCTTATTGACCATTTGGCTGGGGTCAGATGGCACCAGGAGCCATGGGTAAAATGCAACTACCTACAATCAAATTCAGCTACGGGGCAGGGAGAGGAGACAGGGCCAAGTGTGCTGGACTCTAAACACCCAGTAGGGGTCGCTGCTTAACACACTTCACATCCATGTGGTGATGTCAGGCTGTCATCTAAGACTGCTTTTAAGGATTGAAAGTTAAAAAACCAGCCTAGACTATATCCTGAGACCTTGTCTCAAAAACGAACAAATGTCAACCATAGTGACAATGGCATCCACCACAAGCAAAGGCCCTGAGGCCCTTAGTGCCAGAATTCACCCTGTGTGGTCTGATTACACAGGAGATGCCCATAGCCCAGGCCTGATACAACACCTATGTTTTTATGAAGATGGTTTTGAAGTCTAAATAACCAATGAGACCACACAGGGCACAGCTGCTAGATGTCTGCCCTAATCTCAGAAGGATCCCCTGGGGATCAACAAGATCAGAACTAATAGCACTTAATGGTGACTAGCGGCACCAGGCACCATTGTCCCTTGCTCTCAACAGCCATCAATCTGAACTCCCACCCTACACTGGATTCCTTATTCTTTGGTACTGAGAGAGGAGGACAGACAATTAACACATCAAGGACTGGGGCAGAGGGGTGTGTGTGTGTATGTGTGTGTGTGTGTGTATGGAGGTATGTGTGTATGAGGGCAAAGCACAGGGCTACCAACACTATCAGGATGACCTGGGCACTCATAAGAGGGACACACAGATCACACTGATCAACACAAAATGGAGGGCCAGGCTCCCTCATGACAGTCCTGAGAGCCAGATAGGCTACAGGGGATGAGAGGCCCAGCATAGTTCCTGGGCTAGGAACTCCAAGCTGAATTAGTCTTGGCTAACAAAGAATCATTGCAAGGTGGGAGTGGCTCTGTAAATGAGCAGATACCTGGATCCTTACAGGGACTCAGTTCCAGCAGTCAGGAACTCAGGACTGTAGGACTGAGTTTCCACTTAGCTGTGTGCCTTGAGGAAATACAAAACCTCAGTAAAAAGGGAATGTATCTGAAGCTCATAAGCAGGAGGCCGAGGTGACATCACAAGTGAGGTGCTGCTGTATGAACATCTGTGAATGTGCTCCAGGTAATTCTGGACCTGGCCAGGACTAAGACTCAGTCTATTAAACATCCTCTTGAACATCAGTGTCCATATTTATTTCAGAATGTTATTTTGTGAGCTCACATACCTGTGTGTGTATGCATATGGACAGATGTTACAATGCCTTGGCTGTTCTTTCTCAGGTCCTGTCCATCTTGAATTCTAATAGGGTCTCTCCTATCCTGGGGGTCAGTAACTAGGGTAGACTGGCTGGCCAGTGAGGCCCAGGGAACTGCCTATCTCCACCTCCCTAGTGCTGGGTTTATAAGCACAAACAATACCTTTTTACATGGGTCCTGGGAATCAGAATCAGGCCCTTGTGCTTTTAAGTCAAACACTTGACTCACTTTCATCTCCATAGCCCAGCCACTGCTTCTTGCTTTTTTGTTTTCTTGAAAGCCACAAATCCCAAAACAGTTATGTTACTAGAGTAATAAATGATAACAAGCAGGACTTCCCAGACATAGCATGCACAATCATGCATGGCACACTCCTTATCCCTACTGTCCCTGCCTCAATGGTTCCAGACAAGCTTCTGCAGTAACTCATTCTCCAGCCCATGGGCTAAGGGTCCACCTGGATCACTTTGGGGCTCAACTCTGCAAGAGGGAGTCTGAGATCTTAGTGTTCACCTCTCCCTGTTACCCAGTGCTCCCCTACCCAGGAGGTGCTTGTCAGAGTCCCTCTCCTGAGATCCTATACTACCATCAGTGGCCATAATGATCTCTGTTCTAGCAGGCTCTGCCTAGAGTCCTCAATTCCCGAGTTCCACTCCATCTCTAGGCCTCTGACTTACTGGTTACCTGCACACTTTTTTTTGTTTAAAATAGGCTGAATAGGTTCTATTGGCTGCCTAACAGCCCTTGGTCTAAACCTCAGCTCCACACTACTGCATATGGAGAGGGTGGGAGCCTCAGTCCAGCTATTAAGATTTTGATGCGGTACAACCCTCCTGTACTCCCAAAGTCACCTGCATCATCCTTCATGCCCGGGGATGTATTAAACACTTTTTTGAACCCTGTCCTTTCCCTATCCATCTGCTGTGTGCCCAGCACTCCCTATTATGATGTCTGAGAAGTATGCTGGCCCAAGTCACTTAACCTCTGAGATAAGCAAGCTTGGATCTGGAAATACATCCACAAAGTCTCAAGATTGAAATGAGTGCATTCCAGACTCCTCACCAAGCATGCAGCAACAGCAGCTGTCCCAGCCTATAGCCTCCTACACCACAGCCCAAATGCTAAGGACCTTCCTTGGCTATCACTCCACTGCCTGGAAGTCACAAAATTTGGGGAAATATTAAGAACCATAGGCAACCCCTTCTCCATACTTCTACTTAACTCTCCTGGGAGACTGGTAAACTGGGCTCAGGGCTGAGGGTCTGCCTTATGTGTGCTTCAGTTTCCCCATCTCACCTGGGCTGGGTCTGAGTAGCACCTTCTCCAAAAGCTCCAATTATGTTTAATCACCAAGAGAGAAGGGATGCTAAGCAGGGTGCACAGACCTGAAGTCCTAGCTACTCTTAAGTCATAAGGGGGATGGCAAGTTCAAGGCCAGCCTGGGCAATATCTCAACATGGAAAGTAAAAAGAGGGCTGGGGGATGCAGCTCAATTACAGTATTTGCCCAGTCTATACCAGGGTGTGGGTTTGGTCTCCAGCATAGGCAATAATGAATAAAAAGGAGGGTCCATGTAGCTCAGAGATAGAACATTGGTTTGACATGAGCTCCATCCCCGCACTTTTGGGGGAGCCTACAAAGTGCTGCAGTCCAGGGAAGGGAAGGGAGGAAGGGAGACTACAGGCTCAGGGAAGGCATGAGGGTAGAAGGCAGGAGAATCCATCTCGCCACAAACCCTTCCACTGGGCCAGCTGTAGATCACCACAAAGGTGAAAAAAGGTCACTTGGCTCAGATGTGTCCTGGACCCTTCCTCTGAGTGATGTGGGCCCTTTACTCTGGGTGCTCCCAGTCCCTCAGCCTTCTCCACTGATGCAGGTACCACCATGACATTCTTTATAATTTAGTCTGTATCTCCTGCCAGACTCTAAGACAAGGATGAGGTCTTATCTGCTGTTCTACTCCCAGCTGCTAGTGCACCACATGCAGTTAAACCACACTGAAAAGGGGCGCTAGGCAGCACAGGGTACAGCAGGCACTTTGTACACCTCTGAAGGAGATAGGATGACTGACAATTGACAACCAATGAGGAAGTGGACCCGAACCTCTAATGCCACTGGGGGTACCACAGCAGCTACTCCCTGCCTACAGAGTACATGAAGTACAAAGCAGGCTGTAAAACCTGAGAGAAATGGGCAAATGAGTTCAGCTCTTCTGCTCACATGTTTTTATAGCTTTGTTTGCATATGGACAAACACACAGGTGGTCCTGGGGAGTCTAACTCAGATCCTCACCAGAGCAAGAACTCTTACCCACTGAACTTCAGCACCAGTCCCTCATCAGTAATTTTTAAAAAAACATATTGACACATGAAAGCCACCATTCACAAAATGTCCCTGGAGTCTCTCCTAGCACTGAGTAAGGGTCACTGAGCCCACAAACAGGCACTGTCCCCACCTACACCAGATGTACTTACTGTCTGCCACCAAAAAAAATCACAAATAAATAGCACCAGTACTCAAGAAGGCTTTAGAACTCCTCCCGCATCAATCTCCAATACCTCAGGGCCATGAGGAAGACAGCTCCTGCAACAGGAGCTGTCTGCATCTGCTGCAGGTGATAACCAGGAAGTGGGGAGCTTCTGGGTTTCCTAGGACAAGAAATAGGAGCCTATGCTGTCTTCAAACTTGTGATCCTCCTGCCTGGCTATGCAAGATAAGTACTCATCTCACCTGGCAGGAGACTGGGTGGCTGACCTGGACAAATGAGCCAACCATTGGGGTGGAAATGTGGTATTTTCGCTGCCAAAAAAAAGTGACATTTATAGAAAATAAGAAACTGGGGTCAGCAAAAGAGTTCAGTAGGTAAAAGTGCTTGCTACCAAGCCTGAAGATCTGAGTTTGAATCCCTACAAGTTGTCCTTTGAGTGTCACGCATGCATGCATGCATGCGCATGAGAATGCACACACAGCATGCACGCACACACAAACACACACTGACCAGATGTAGAACTATTTTTAAAATATATTTTTTAGAAGAGGGACTGCCTCTGACATAATCTGATTGGCCTGCTCTTTGATCACTTCCCCCTGAAGGGGGAGCAGCCTTACCAGGCCACAGAAGAGGACAATGCAGCCACTTTTGATGAGAACTGATAGACTAAGATCAGAAAGGAGAGGAGAACCTCCCCTATCAGTGGACTTGGGGAGGGGCATGCATGCAGAAAGGGGAGGGAGGGTGGGTTTGGGAGGGGAGGAGGGAGGGGCTTATGGGGGGATACAAAATGAATAAAGTATAATTAATAAAAAAATATTTTTTTAAAAAGCAAACAAAAAATACAGAGTCCTCCATGTTGTGTACAAAGGGGCCTTCATGGCTGGGGTCTGAGGCAGGAAGAGTGAGAGAGACAAACAGACTTCCTTCACAAACAGGGCTTTGGAAAAACTCTTACACATCGAGTTAGATATAGGCAAATGAATTACAGTGACAGAGAAAACTGCCATAATCTATCACTTGAACTAAGAGGTAAGGACAATTTTGCCTAAGTACAAATAGGCCAGACTTAGGGCAGACCTTTGTAACCATAAGGTCATGAACATGTGGAAAGAACTCATTCCAATCAGATAGGAAGGCTAACAGAAATACAGGCTGTCACACAGACAAAAAACAAGACACGGCTCCTCCTCTTCTTCAAGACAGTCTCAGTGTGTCTCTAGTACACACTAACCTCAAACTCAGAGCCTTCCATCAGCCTCCCAGCTCCTGGGATTACAGTATTGTAGCTTTTCTTTCAGACTACTAGAGAGTAGAACAATGATTAGGAATGGCTAGAAGCAATCCCACCTCATAAATGAGTAAGCTGTAAGCTGTAAGTCTATATAATGCAGCGTAGTACAATGGAGAATTATGCAGCCATGGAAGGAGGTATGGCAGCAATGTAGGCCAGCCTTGAGAATGTGAGGCTTGAAGCAGCCAAAACACACCACACATTGCAGACATGAAAGTTCAGAGTAGAGCAGCTGACAGAGATATAGCACAGGAATAGCTACCGAGGGCTGGGGACTCTGGGTTTTCCTCTGAAGTGATCAGAATGTTCTAAAGTTAATCATTGTGGCTACAAGACAGTATGTTAACAAATAGCAGCTGGCACAAATCCAATGAACATAAGGTTGGTATTTGAATAAAGCTTGTATGTTTCTGTCTCAAACTCCCACCTGCCTTAGCCTCCTAAGTGCTGAGATTATAGATGTGCGTTGCCACACTTGGTATCTTAACATGACATTTATTAAAAACTACTACGAGTGAATAAACTGCAATTAATAAAATAAATACATTTAAAAAAAAAAAAAACACCTACTACGATAGGCTGGGCATAGTAGAACATGTCTTTAATCCCACCACTAAGAAGGTGGATCTTTTGTTAAGTTCAAGGCCTACCTGATCTACACAGAAACAGAAAGTTCCAAGCTATCCAGGACTACATAGTGAGACCCTGTCTCAACCTCCAGCTGTCCCTTCCTCTACTGGAAACAAAACAAAACACTAGGAGCCATTGATGACACCCTAATGCTGACCTGGAAATGGACCACGCCCCCAACATAAGACCAGATTTAAGACCTGTCATGCTGTCAGCCACAGATGTTTGTTCTCTGACATTCTGGAGATTCAGAAGTTTACCCCACTGGGCCTGAAGAAGTGGCTTGGTGGTTACAAGCACTGACTAATCTTATAGAGGACCAGGGTTTGACTTTCAGCATCCACATGGCAGCTCACAATTCCAGAAGATCCAACTCCCTCCCCTGGTCTCCTGACACAGTACACTCATATTTACACATATACCCTTAAAAATAGATAGATGATAGATAGATAGATAGATAGATAGATAGATAGATAGATAGATAGATAATAAAAGTTCCCCACTACATTTAGACTAAAATTCAAACCTACTCCTTCAAGGTCCTTCTTGGTAAGCATCTCATTGTCTCACTTCCTATCTCCTACCCTGATTCCCTTCCCTAACCTGATCTGACTACTGTATCCTCCTGTTTCCTAAAACAAGCTGGGCCTGAGGCCTTTGTGTATACCTAGATAAGTCTCTGGGCTGGCTCTTCCCCATGCCTATCATCTCCTCAGAGAGGCTCCCAGAGTCTATGCTGAATCTCTGGTCTGCATGAATCTGTCTTCTACTTCTACATTTTAAGGTCCACTAGGAGAGGGATTTTCATGGTATCTTGTCCCCAAAACTGAACTGTGTGTGTGTTCTTGTAAGCCCTCATATCCAGTCTCAGACTGTTACAGTATCTGAGACAGATTCTTCAAGAAAGACTAGTGATCCTAAGTAAGTCACGGTGCAGTCATGTGGTCCAACTTCCACTTCACTGCATTCTTCGCAAAGGGATGACTGAGCCAGTCATGGTGGTACATGCCTGTAATCTCAGCACTTGGCAACAAGATCAGGTAGGTAGAGAAGGGGTGAGGGAAATAGAGATGAAGAGAGGCCTGAGCACAGCACAGTCTACACACTATAGCCAACTTCCAGCCTCAGAGCTCTGACACTGGAATTGCTTTCAATGCAAGGCATGCAGTATGGGCCTAAGAAAGCACAAGCACTTCACACACAGTAGGTGTCCCATATGTGTTTAAATGGCCAGAGAAGTGGACAGCAAACAGCTTTTTCTTAGTGACACCAAGAGCTAAGGCCAATCCATGGGACTTCAGGCTGTCACCTGTAGGGTTTCCATTCATTGACTTTGATGAGAGTTTTACTCCTGGAAAATTGCAATGGGAATGGCCCTGTAGCTCCCTCTGAGGGTCATCTACCTGAGATCTGTCTGGGGATGCATGGGATAATAGACAGGTAGCAGAGAGGCTGTGGCTAGGGCTATAAAACAAGTTTGAAACATTTTACAACAGCTGTAACCAAAGTAGGACCCCAGATCAAAGGGTTGGCACTGTGAGCTGCAGAACAGACATTGGCTGGCATCATCCCATGCATGTCAACTGGGGCAACTGCTCCCAACATGAAGCTAGCCAAAAGGTCCTAAGAGCCTTTCACTAAGAGAACAGAAAAAGGCTGTAAAATGGTTCCTAACCACTGATACAGGGACCCAGGCTGCTGGAGACTGGCACTTGCTTCCCATGTCCCGAAGCAACAAAGTCTGCAGGAGCAGATTCAACTGACACCTAAGAGCAGAGCCCCAGGACAGTAGGTCGGGTGGTTGCAACAGCTAGTCCTGTGTCAGAAAACAGTATAACTATGGTTATCAAGCACTCAGGACATCCCAGATGCCCAAGACCACACTAATCACCGGCACATGCCAGACTGTCTCTGCTGTCACACTGCTCTTTGGGAATAGAGGTGGGGATACAGACAGAGCTCAGGGGGTCTCAAGGAAGGTCCTGGAACATGGCCATCATGAGTGTTTGCATTCTGCCTTAGGCCACATCCTATGAGCCTCATGCTGTCCTGACCTACACCATGTTGTCTCTGGTACTCAGCCCCCTTCGGAATAGAGAAAACTGTAATTATTATTGTTCCCATTTTAGTCATTGAGGAACCTAAAGCCACAGGGGAAAGTATTTTACAGAAAGGATGGAGACTTATCTTGAGGTTACAAAACAAAAACCTGACCCTTTGTACCTGGGTGTCATGTGCTGAGAACCCTATCTACTTGTCCTGCAAGGTTAAGCTAGACTATCCATCTTTTGATTCTCAAAAGCCTGATGTGCTTGTCACCCAATACTCTCATGAACTGCATCCCCAGAGCACAGATAAGAGTCTCCTATAAGTAGTTATGATGACAAGGGACAGCTCCTGAAAGTCCCCCAGCCATTCTTACTGTCATCTTCTGAAGCCAGGTCCTGCTCAGCGCTGGCGTAGGTGCGCACGAACTCAGCGAAGGCCCCATCCCGGTCTAGCAACTCCTGGTAAGATCCCATCTCTGAGATCTTGCCACCACTCATGACAATGATGACATCCACTTGGGGCAGGTAGCTGATACCATGGGTCACCAGGATCCGTGTCTATGGGCAAAGCATAGACCTGGCCCCATTAGCACCGTGAAGAAGACACTGACACAGCCTTGTAGAGTCTAGAATCTCAGGACCCAGTGGCATGGCTCAGGTCCAAAGCTTTGGACCTGATGGACACACACTCACTCAAGGCAGAATCCACCCTGTGCCAGGCAGGAGAAAGAGGGGACAAAGCCAGTAGAACATTGCCTGGATTCCAGGAATAGCAGCAAAATGAACCACAGGCATAGAACCAGTGTTGGGGTGAGGGGGGACAGTGTAGAAAGAAGGGTAATTCAGAGAGTTAGAAAGACTATTTGGAAAGGAAACTCCAAGAGGAAGACAGAAACCACATTCATATGAGGCAACCACACAAATCTGCATTTGTCAGCCCATTGTCTGTTTGCTGTGCTGGAGAGTAAAATAAAAGCCTTCTGCACACTAGGCAGGCACTGTATCACTGGACCTTGTCTTTAAGACAAGGTCTTGCTATGTAGGGTAGGCTAACCTAACTCTTTCATCTCGGCCTCCTTAGTGCTGGGCTAACAGGCACATGCCAACATGTTTGTGTTTTAGACAGTAACTTTATCCTTCCAGCTCAAACCCACCACAAAATTGATCTATGCTGCACAGTTCTGCTTGTTTTGGCATGCTGGCAAATATGTGTGTATCAGACCATCAACACATGACAACCAATATCTTCTTGAAGAGCCAGGTGGTGATAGCCATGGTTTAAAAGTCAATACACATAGCACACCATCTGTAAGGGAAAGAGCAGGAATACTTGCTTTGGATTTGCTGCTTTTCTCCAACCACAACATTTTTACACATTGCTACTTTATAATTAGGAGGTAAGAACCAGTATGTTCCTCCAGCTCCCTAAAAAAAAAAAAAAACAGAGGGTTTCCTCTCTGGCTAAGGCTAACTGAGCCATCTTCCTACCCCAAGCTCCATCGTAAGCCCCGCCATCATGGGGAAGGAATGACAGCCTTAATGAAGGTATAGGTGGTCTAATGAGGAAGAAAGGTCATTTAACCAATAAGGCAATCAATACAAGTGGGGCCAATAACTCACCTTAAAAAGACCAGGTAAGACACCTGCCTTGGGGAGCTAGCAAATGGCTCAGTTCATAAAATACCTGCCACACAAAGATCTGAGTTTGATACCCAGAACCCATGTGAAAAGGTTAGACATGGTGTCACACCCCTATCCCTATAATCCTGTCACCAGGGAGACAGAGACAGAAGGATCTCTGGAGTCCGCACAGTTTAATCAGTGAGCTCTATATTCAGGAAGAGATCTTGTCTCAAAGAATAAGGTGGATGATACCTGAGTGAGGACACCCACAGTTGACTTCTGGCCTCTACCTGCATACATACATGCACACCAGTAGATAAATACTGCATGTACACACACACACACACAAAGCATGAAAGCAAGCTCAAGAATCAAGGACTTGTCTAGGGCCACACTGCCAATTAACTGAAGTCCTAGCCCTATGAGAGTACCTTGTTCTTCAGTAGGCCCGTGGGACCAACCACCTTCTCAAAGATGTGCTTCCCAACATGTGCATCCACAGCCGAGAGGGGGTCGTCAAAGAGGTAGATGTCAGAGTTACAGTACACAGCCCGGGCCAGGCTCACACGCTGCTTCTGGCCCCCTGACAGGTTCACGCCCTAGAAGACAGTGGAGAGGGTGGGTTTCTTGGGATCCACAGGACCCTGGAACCATACAAAATAAGAATGGGGACAGAAGAGATGCTGAGTTGGGTACTTGACCCCCAGCAAGTACTCAGGGAATGGAAGTAGACAGTCAGGCCTCCTGGCATATGTCTATTAGCCCAGCTACTCAGAAGCTGAGAGGCAGGAGGATGGCAAGTTCAAAGGCAGCCTAGGCAAAATCACCAAGTGAAAAGTAGGGATGACGCTCAGTTACAGAGCATGTAGGCAGCCTGCACAGGGTCTGGGTCTGGTCTGTAGTGCCACAAGAAAGAAGAGCAGATGGGAACCAATGACATCTCTAGACCCATCATAGTTTAAAAGAGTCCACAGTGTGTGATAAAGATATTATGATTTGTATGCTACATCACTACTGTTGCTGTGCTCTGTGATGAGCTTCACTCTGAGCTACTGTGCCTATTGAAGTCACACAATGAAGCTGGTGGCACTCGGCACTGAGACTGAGACAGTACTCCAGTCACAGAGGAAGGTCAGCACTGAGCATCAGCAGCCCACTCCCACCAACAGGTGACCAACACCATGGCCATATACAGCTCAAATGCCCAAACACCTATTGGGTAAACTGCCCAAGCCTGTTGAGATGGACACTCCCTTCTTGTGCCAAGGCTATCTCTTGGGCCTGTCCATACATAATATCTTCCTGTGCCAAGGCTAACCCCAATTCTTTTTTTATTTTATCTTATTTTTTGTTAGTGCTGGGGATGGAGCTCAGGGGCTTTACTCCTACTGAACAAGTGTTCTACCACTAAGCCACACTATACGTTGCTAGTCATTTTTAGTATTTTGAGATGGGATCTTGCTAGGTGGATAGGATCAGCTTAGGCTGGCCTCAAACTCATGATTCTCTTGCCTCAGCTTCCTGCATACTCAGATGATAGATCCAGCTACAAAGCTCCCTTCAAACTCCCTTTGGAACTAGCTTATTGACCCGAAGTCAGATGCAGTACACAAAATTGGTCAATCCTTGACTCTCTTGACTTTTGCACTGGGACTTGAAGGAAACAGTCCGGTATCTCCAAGTGATAGATCACAACATTTATAAAGTGGGACAAGACTAATGAGCAGGCTGCCTACCCACCCCAGCCTGCCCTGGAGAGCCTGGCAGTCCTGCCTCGGATCCCATACAATACTCTGATCCTTCAGTTTGGTTGGTACCTCCAAGCTTTAACAACCCAAGGGCCCTAGCCAACCCGAAAGATTTCCAGGTTCATACCAAGGAAAAGATACTTTATATCAAATAAGTAAGTTAGTGGGATGATCCATGGAAACAAGCTCAGCTCTCCCAAGAGGTCCCTGTCACTGTGGGTGGCTGCACTCCCAGCACATACATAAGACAACCACTTGCACTGGTGCAAGTAGGCTGGGAGGCACACTTCAAAAGTGAACAGTGGAACAGGTGACTTAAGAGTCACTCTGCTTTGTTTCTTGACATCAGGCAAGACCCCTAGCCTCTCTGAGTCTCCCTTTCCTCAACAATTCATTAGAGATCACAAAAAAAAAAAAAAAAATCTCCCCTCATGAGCTGCTATGTAGATGACTTAGGATATAATGTTAGCATGGCAGCAGAATGAAGAAGTGTGTATCAGCTAGTCTAGAGCTATCTGCATTATCACTCATAGACATGCTTCTTAGGTACACTGTGTAAATGACAAGGGCAGTCACTTCTAGTGTCTTGTGACTGCGGGTGAGACAGTATGTAGCAAAAGCACAGCACATCTTTTATTCTTATTCTCTTGGACTCTGCATCACCATGGGAGAGGCTCCCACTTGGGTGGACACTGACACCTCAACTCAGACCACAGCACCAAGAGCCATATGGTATAGACCCTCACCAAACTCACAGAGCTTGACAAAGGAGCAGAGCCACAGGCTATAAAGAGAGTAGGTCCTTGATGATCCACTTGCAGAAGGACAACATTTTGTGTGAAAGGCACTGTGTACCTATCTGTTACATGCCAGCAGCTGACTGCTGCAAATTGTACCCATGCCATACTCACCTTCTCACCAATCTCTGTCCGGTCCCCACTGGGCAAGATTTCCAGATCCGGGAGAAGGGCACAGGCTTCCATCACTGCCTTGTAGTAACGTTCCTGCAGGGGGTGCCCAAACAGTATGTTCTCTCGGAGAGTGTCATTCTGAATCCAGGCCTGCTGGGGCACATAGGCCACAGAGCCCTGTGTAGCAGGTAGTAGAAAGGAAAAAAAAAAAAAAAAAAAAAACTTCATGAAAAGACAAGAGCACGCACCTGCCTGCAAAAAAAGCCAAGTATCCAAAACACACAAAGCAAGGACAAGAACAGAGAAGGGAACCCCAAGTGTCCCCAAGTGACACTTGAGCCCCAAGTGTCAAGACACCTCAATTGTAAACCTCACAAGATAGTTAGCCATAGGCCACATCTACCAAGACACTGGGGAAAATTAATGCACTTTCTGAAACCATCAGCTACAAATAGTTCTTGGACTCAAAACATCAGAGCCTGGGACAAAAGGAACCCAGGAACTATGAAGCAGAATGCAACATGGATCTAAATGTGACAAGCAATTTCCTTTTGTCAACCTTGTTCAAGTTGCTCGTCCACTACTTGGAAGAAACAACGGGACACATCTTGAAGCAACAGATATTTGCCTGGATCCAAACACTGTCCACTTATTTCTAAAAAAGCACTGAACCAGTAAGGGAAGGATGTGTATTGAAATCAAACAGTGACATAAGTCCACATCCACAAACTTGAGTTCCCAAGAAAGGAGGATGCAGATAACAGACATGTCCAGGCAAACACATGTGGCACAGGCTGGCTGAAGTATAATCCTTCTTGGCAACACTGTAAGGATCTTATTTACATAGCAGGCAAAGGCCTCAGAGAGAATGAGGTGCATGCAGAAAGGCCCCAAGGAACTCATTTTTACAGCACCCTTTAACTGTTCCCATGAGCCGAACTTCATGGCAAGTTTAGCTCAGTTCAGAGCATGACACATCTCATTCCCCTCCAGCTCCATATTAAGAATTCAACTGATACTAGTAAATTATTTAAACTGTGTTTCATACACCAGGTTCTGAGATTATTCTAGCCACAGCAATTAGCACCAAAGTTATGTTCTATTTACAAGATTCAAAAGAAAGAAGAAGCCAGATGTTCTATCCACAGAGACTACAGGATCAAATTGGGGGTTATAGCCTTGAGGGAATGCCAGGATATACTCAGGAGTCTTCACCCCTCCCTAACCTCTTTCAGGCATATATATCATTGTGCTTCAGTCACAGTCACCCTTGTGTCCCTCCTTCCCTTGGGTTCTTCCTCCCTCAAACAGCTCGCTTTCTGCTTTCATATCACACACACACACACACACACACACACAAAGAGAGAGAGAGAGAGAGAGACAGAGACAGAGAGAGACAGAGAGTATTATTCAGCCTGGAAAACAGTTGGGGCTGGAGATCATCATGTGAAGTGAAATGAGGCAAAATCAGAAGGCAGGAGCTATGAATACCCTCTCCTTCACAGCACATCTGAGCACTCATAGCCTGTTTACTGAGCACTACCACACACCACACTAGCCAAGGCACTGGGGTGAAACAAGGAGTGGCTGTCACTGAAACCTTGCCTTCCTAGATAAGCAGAGAGAATGAGGGATGGCAGATGCTTCCTTGGGCAATTCGTAAGACACTGGGCTAAGCCTTTCTCCCAGACCATCTCTCCCCATCCTGGCACCATCCTACCTTGAGAGCCACATGTCCCTCCACCTTATCCATCTCAGCCAGCAGTGCTGACAGCAAAGATGACTTCCCGCAGCCTACTTGGCCCACAACGGCCACAAGCGCTCCTTCAGGGATGGAGAAGCTGATGCTGTAAGGACACAATGAGAAGCCTGAATGACACAATGTCCTATGCCCTCCTTGAGAGTGGTGCATGGTCTCTGCCTGTGCTGGTCAGTGCTTGGAGACCTCCAAGGCTATGAAGCAAGGTGACCCATGGCCTGAGGGGCCCAATGTAAATGCATCACAAATATTGGCCAACACAGAGCCCAAAGACTATGTGTTACCCAGGAGAGCTGATGAAGTATATTCTCCTCACTGGGTCCACAACAATGTCCCCATGACAAGCCACCTCCAGGTGAACTCAATTTCTCAGGCATCTGAGACTGGCTGAGAAAGTCTAGACGATAGAGAACTAGGCGAACAGGCCAGACCTGGAAGAAGGCGCAGGAGACTAGAGGGCTGCCTGAAGAGACCAGAGCTGAGTTCTAGAATGGCCTCATCAACTCTGAATGGACTTTATGTTTGTGTGTGAACATACATGTATGTACTTGGGATAGCCAGAGGTCAACATTGTTCCTCAGGTTCTGTCTGCCTTGTACATTTTTGAGACAAGGTCTATCAATGTCCTGGAGCTTGTCAAGTATACCTTGTCAGGTATACCTTCACCTGAAAATGGACCTTCTCAATTCCTCAAACCCCAAATTTCCCTTGTTGCCCAGGAACATGACTTCCTGTCATAATCAGAAGCAACACCTATTAACAAGCTGCTCCTTATAACAACCAAACAGTTGTGATTGGTTGTATTCCAGGGTAAACTGGGGTTCAGAAAAGCGAAACTCAGGGTCATGGAGGTAGAGTGTGCTCACAGCCCCATTGTCAGTGTAGGCCACCTGTGTTCACTTCCCAGGCTTACCCATTCAGTGTGGGAGGTTCACCCCTGGACCAAGTGAACGTTGCATTCTTCACACTGATGCTGTTCATCCCTCTACCTAGAAAACATCAGAGACAATGTGCCAGGAGTAATGCATGGCAACAGGTACACATTACAAGTGCCCTGCTCTAGTCCCCTGCAAAAGTTGAGGACTCTCACTGGTTACTAAGAGCTTGGGGACATCGTCTATATCTCAGGCTGGGAGGAAAGAGCATGGCCAAGGTCAAGGAGAAAAAAATTGCACCCTCATGTAAACCTCTCTCCTTCAGGTAACTACCATCATACTCCACGTCCTAAGATGTCCTCTAGTTTAAAGCTAGGCTCTTTACCCCTCAACTCTTGGATCCTAAGACTTCTTCCCTTTCTGCTGCCCTCCCTTAGCCATTCCACTCTGCCCACAGCCCAGCAGGTCAAACTTTCTGTAACTTCAGTGACAATCAAATGAAAACAGACTTTACTAGAAGCCTGCTAGGGAACAGGAAGTGCTATAGGAAGGTGACGGAGGGGTGGGAGCTAGGCCAATGACCACATTATAAGATCCTGATTACTAAGGATCTTGCCCTGCTCTGTATATTTTCTATATGTTTTCCTTTTGCTTCTGTCTCTAGTTTTTTGTTTGTTTGTTTTTTTAAAGTCTCTTAATTAGCAGCTACCTTTAAACACTTCTGGGGTTTCATAGGCCATGAATCCACATCAAGAGGAGATTACTAGTTAAATAAAACTAACCACAGCTCCCTCAAAAGGAAAGGGCTTGTTTCTCAGTGTAGTAGGGTTCAAACCAAAGTGCATGTTTGGTTTGATCTGGCAGGATCTGCACCCTCACAAAAGAGGAAGCTGGGTGTGCCACTTCAAGAACTGGCCAGAAGCTGCTGCAGTCACAGCGAACCAGCAAACAGAGCTTCAGTGGGGCAGGACAGGTAGGGCTGCAAGGTGTTAATCACCTCAGAAACAGGATCAGTGGTCCTGGTCCTGGATCAGTGGCACTAGTAGAGAACTGTGTACAGTTTGGCTGCAGGATCTCTGAATGGTTGCCTTGGTGCAGGTCCCACACCTAGAGAGCCTCAGGACAACAGAAAACCATGGAAGAGAGTTCCAGCACCTGCTTGGACTGTAGTTCTCAAAAAGGGACAACTGTCCTCCTATGGGATACCTGGAAGTTCCTGGAGACAATTTTGGTTGTCACACTGGGATGGCTATCATGAGATGCAGTGGGGAGATGCCAGGGATACTCCTCACAGTCATAAGGCAGTTCTCAACAAGAACTATGAACCCCAAGGGGCACCCAGTGTGAGACCAGTGGAGACCAGCTATTATCCTCACAGAACAGCAGACCTGTAACTCACACATCACCGCTGATATCCTACAATAGCCCACTAGGCTCCTGGCTCTACATACACCTCATCACCATTAGCCAAGCCCTGTCTTCAATTCTGTTTACTGGGCTCTGAGCTGGAGAGTGTGGGGTTGAACCCCAATGCTACAACTTCCCAGCTGGATAGTCTCTCCGGACCTCTTTCTTCCTGTAAACCAGAGCTGTGCTGCAGTCCCACACATGCCTAGGAACAAAGGCTGCCAGCAGAGCAGGTGCTCAGGAAATCTCAGCCAAGGGCTTCTCTGCTGGGGACCTCAGGCAAGTTTGCTGACCCTGACTCCTGCTCCAAGGACCATGCTATACTGGGTGTATTTGAACTAAACACACATGCCAAAAAAGGCTCAATACTGCTGGTGCCATTAACAGTGACTGTAAAATGCCTACAAATGCCTAAACAAGACCACAGTTCAGAGGTCAGTGAGAAGTATCAAATAGTCTATGAAACAAGCCCAGTGATAAAAATCCATAGGATACCTGGCTAGGCCTGGTACACAGCCCTGAACAACCACCTATTCAGGAGACTGATGATCCAAAGTTTGGCCAACTTGGACCCTGTCTCAAAAAGTAAAAAGTGGGCTGAGGCTATAGCTCAGTAGTAGAGCACTTGCCTAGCATGTGGAAGTCCCGTTTTTGACTCCCAGCAGTAAATTAATTAATCAATCAGCTAAAAATCTCCAATAAAAGGCACTTTTACTCCCATAATCCAGATGAGGAAAATGAAGCTCTGCATACACAGACACAGGCAGAAGCAGAAACTGGGCTATTCCTCACCCAGGACAGAACCAAATCCTGAGCTGAAAAGCCCAGAGTGTCACTCACTGCAGGAGCAAGGGGCACAGATAATAGAGAAGCCCCTTCTTGGCCCCTCTGTAGAGGCTGGACACTGGGTCTTGTAGGCAAGCTGGGCAGAATCAGGTCCTGGGGAGGCCAGAATAAGGATCGAAAAGTCGGTAGAGAAGAGGCACCCACCATCCTTGATCGAGCACCGCTCGATGCTGTCTGGCTCCAGCTCCTCATGAGACAGAAAAATTCTGAGACGCTTGAGGGAGACACTTGCCTGAAGAAGAAGCACAGGATGTGTCACCCTGATAGCATCTGGGCCACCTCCCACCCTAACCCTCGTTAATAAATAAAACCTAATGTCCACAGAAAGTAGAAAATGAAGGGCAGAGGCTGCCTCATGCAATGGGACCTCTGCAGACTGAGTTAGACTTCAACAAATTATTGGTTTCTGGTTCCAAATTATGGAAAGACAATACACGCTGCCAGGCATATGGGCAGAGTCTGGGTTTGCTTAAAAATCCTTCAGCAAAGAAAGAATGAAAGCAGGAGAGAGGGATGGAATTAGGAAAAGGAAGAGAGGTCCTCAGAAATTTCAAACTGTTAATCAGGACCCAACAGCAGAATATGAAATTAAAGAAGTAGGTCAAGACCTGTGTTTTTTAAAAACACCAGCTGAGAGAGGCCAGAGAAACATAGACTATTCCAGAAAGATTTTTTGCAATTAAAACCAAAGACTTATCTGAGCTAGAGTTGAGTTTTAGGCCAACCTAGGCTACAAAGCCAAATATTCTGTGCCATGGAGGAAAATGTGTTTCTTTCTCAGAGTAGAGTCAAGTAACCCCTTACTGCTGAGATAGAAGCCATTCTGGGATCAGCAATGGATCCATGCACAGGGATCTACTTGAATCCTCCAAGCCACAGCATGAGCAATTAGGAAGAGTGTGGTCAGGACTGCACAAGTAAATTAGTGGTACAGATTGAGTCCAAGCTGAGGAATCTGTGAACACCATGGCTTGCAGCACCCATGCCCACTCCAGGTTCCTTGTCACCTACACAACTATACGCAATGTTGCTAATGACCATGGGAGGATGATGACAGCTCCCATGTTCACTCCTGATTTCCACTGTCCCCACACATCTGCATGATGCTAATGACCATGGGAGAATTCTGAGAGCCCCTGTGTTACCCTCCTTGGCCCCCTCTGCCAGATACACACCTGCACAATGCTGCTGATGACCATGGGCAGGATGTTGAGTGGGAAGCGCAAGATATTGAATAGGGCTAGGGACACAAAGGCTTTCTTTGCATCTAAGATGTTGTTTTCATCCACAGTCACATAGACAGCAAAGGTTGACAGGGCCACCTGCAAACAAGGCAAAGTGTTAGTGATGGAGGCACAGCTGCACCATCCCCAGAGGGAGGTAGGGATTCAGACCTCTCCATGGAGTAGAAAAGCAAAAGCCCGAGGGAGGTGGGAAAGGGTACTAAGGCAGCACACCCACATCATAAGGAACTAACCAGAAAGATGGATGATCATGAGATTTTCAAATACCTGGCCACTGTGGTTAAATATTCTTGGTATACAGGTGACCCTGGGGTCCATTCCCAATGGTACAAAAATACAGCTCAATTGGTGAGAGTTCTTCTCGCATGCATAAAGCTCTGAGCTCACCCCCAGCACTGCATGAACCAGGAATATCTGTAATCCCAACACTGGGGAGAAGGAACCAGGAGGATCAGAAATGACAGGTCATCCCTGGCTATAGAGGGAGTTCAAGGCCAGTCTGGACTAATGAGAGACCCAGTCTCAAAAACAAAAGAAAAGCCAGAAAGTCCCAGCAGTGAGGATGGCACATAACAGGCTGGTCATGTTCCAAGATCAGGGCTCTCTGAGCAAAACGGCTTTGGTATGACAACTTCATTCTTTGTCTGGAGAAAAAAAAAAAAAAAAAAAAAACAAAGCAGTCCTGAACAACCCCAGAGGGTGGCTTGGTTCAGAAGGGGACAATGCCTAGTGAATTTGGTCTGCACATCCCTCCTCTATTGCTCAGATAGGAGCCGCCTAGTACCATGTAGTGGGCAGCCACAGGTACCCTAAGGGTCCTCTGAGACACAATAAAATAAGCAGTTCAGAAAAGCATATATAGTACAGATGGGTAGCCCTGGTCCAGGAGCCACCAAGGGCTTTCCCTTGGACATAACCTGAGCAAGAGCAGCTATGCACATCTGTGCCATTTCAATCATCCCTAGAAGGCAGTGGGGTATGAAACTAGAATCTATTTACCCAGAACAAGCATGTCAATTCTGTGGCTGAGCGTGGGTTCTGTTCCTCAGGTAGGTTGTCTCCCCATATATGACATAGAGCTGACACACTTATGAGGATGGCCAAGCCAAGTGCTGGGTGCAAATCCTACAGAGTCACCCAGGAGGCTGAGTTTATTCCACCTTATACTCTTGGCCAGGTCCCTTGAACCATGCTACCAAGGGCACTATCCTCTGGGAAGCCTGGGTCTGATACAACCAGCAAGGAGATCTACTTCCTGCTCTGCCTGTCACTATCTAGACAGGAAACCCAGGGAGACTTTTAGAAGAATAATCCAGGCTCTGTGGCCAAGAAGGGAGGCAGTGCTCCAGAGGACACCAACACCCTATTATGTGGGCGACCCCAGATGGTAGCCCCCAAGCAGCCTGTGTATACAAGTCTTACACATTTTTTTTAACTTTTTACTTTTTTTTTTCTTGTGAGTGATTTCTTTTTTTTTTTTTTTTATTTTTTTAAATTCTTTATTAATTACACTTTATTCACTTTGTATCTCCCCTGTGGTTCCCTCCCTCCTCCCATCCCAATCCCTCCCTTCCTCCACCCTCTGTGTGCATGCCCCTCCCCAAGTCCACTGATAGGGGAGGTCTTCTTTCCTTCCTTCTGACCCTAGTCAATTAGGTCTCATCAGGAGTGGCTGCATTGTCTTCTTCTGTGGCCTGGTAAGGCTGCTTCCCCCTCAGGGGGAGGTGATCAAAGAGCAGGCCAATCAGTTTATGTCAGAGGCAGTCCCTCTTCCCATTACTATGGAACCCACTTGGATACTGAACTGCCATGGGCTACATCTGTGCAGGGGTCTTAGGTTATCTCCATGCATATCCTTGGTTGGAGTATCAGTCTCAGAAAAGATCCCTGTGCTCAGATTTTTTGGTTCTGTTGCTCTCCCTGTGGAGTTCCTGTCTTCTCCAGATCTTACTGTTTCCCATTTCTTTCCTAAGATTCCCTGCACTCTGCCTAAAGGTTGCCCAAAAAGTCTCAGTATCTACATTGATAGTCTGCAGGGCAGAGCCTTTCAGAGGCCCTCTGTCAGACTCCTGACTTATTCCCTCTTTTCTCCTTCTTCTAAAGCTGGAAACAGCCGAAATGCCCCTCAGTGGAGGAATGGATGCACAAATTGTGGTATATCTACACAATGGAATATTACCCAGCAATAAAAAACAAGGAAATCATGAAATTTGCAGGTAAATGGTAGGATCTGGAAAAGATCATCCTGAGTGAGCTATCCCAGAAGCAGAAAGATGCACACTCATATAGACATATAATATAGGATAAACCTACTAAAATCTGTACACCTCAAGAAACTAATCAAGAGGGAGGACTCTTGCGAAAATGCTCAATTCCTATCCAGAAAGGCAAAGAGGATGGACAACTTTTTACTTTTTAAGACATGTTTCTACTATGTAGTACTGGCTGTCCTGGAACTCATTACATAGACCAGGCTAGCCTCTGGCTCCTGGGTGCTCAGGTGTGTGCCATTATGCCTGATTAAAATTTATTTTTTAACTCACATGTTAAAAACTGTACATATTAATGAGGTGGTATGTAATGCTTTGACACATGAACTCACATCACACACCATCTCTCAATCATTTCTCTCTCCATTGCAGTAAAAGCACATTTTTGGTTCTAGCCTTTCCAAATGAACCAGAAGTATCTGGTTTATCTGTTGCCACTGTGCTTCCATATAACAGTAATTTAATACCTATCCATCAATCTCTTCCCATCCCCCTCTCTCACATAAAAATGTTTGCTCATAATAAAAGTCAACACTGGATTTCCTAATTGTCTGTAGTTATGTCCCCTTTTTCATTTCACAATGGAATATTAGCAATAAAAAATAAGGAAATAATGAAATTTGCAGGTAAGTGGTGGGAACTGGAAAGGATCATCCTGAGTGAGCTGTCCCAGAAGCAGAAAGAGACACACGGTATATAATCATTCATATAGACATATAATATAGGCTAAACCTATTAAAATCTGTACATCTAAAGAAACTAATCAAGAGGGAGGACCCTGACTAAAATGCTCAATCCCCATCCCAAAAGGCAAGGAGGATAGACACCAGAAGAAGAAAACAGGAACAAGTTAGGAACCTGCCACAGAGGGCCTCTGAAAGGCTCTGCCCTTCAGGCTATCAAAGCAGATGCTGAGACTTATGGCCAAACTTTGGGCAGAGTACATGGAATCTTACCAAAGAAGTGGGAAATAGTAAGAGCTGGAGAGGACAAGAACTCCACAAGGAGAGCAACAGAACCAGAAAATTTGAACACAGGGGTCTTTCCAGAGACTCATACTCCAACCAAGTACCATGCATGGAGATAACCTAGAACCCCTGCACAGATGTAGCCCATGGCAGTTCAGTGTCCAAGTGGGTTCCATAGTAATGGGAAGAGGGACTGCCTCTGACATAAACTGATTGGCCTGCTCTTTGATCACCTCCCCCTGAGGGGGAAGCAGCCTTACCAGACCACAGAAGATGACAATGCAGCCACTCCTGATGAGATCTGAGAGACTAAGACCAGAAGGAAGGAGAAGGGGACCTCCCCTATCAGTGGACTTGGGGAGGGGCATTCGTGAAGAAGAGAGAGGGAAAGTGGGATTAGGAGGGGAGGAGGGAGGGGTTTTTAGGGAGGGATACAAAGTGAATAAAGTGTAATTAATAAAATTTTTAAAAAATGATTTAAAAAAAAGAAAAAGAAAATAAACCAAAAAAAAAAAAAGTCAATACAATGGAATATTGCTCCACCATAAAAAGAATGCCATTCTTATACATGCTATTACATGACTGAAATAAAAAATGTCATCCTAAGTGACAAAAACAGAAAGCTACCTTTTTTTTATTTTGTTTACACAAAATGTTCCCTACAATCAGGAAATAGGTTGATGATTACCAGAATTAGTGGGAATAATAAATTAGGGGTAACATGTAACAAGTATAAAGTTTCCTATTGAGTAATAAAAGTAGCCGCTGGACTTGCTGCCTACTAGAGAAACTGCAAATCTATATGCTAATGTGGGGCTACAGCTCAAATATGAAAAAACTTAAAGAGGGGCCAAGCAAGGGGGCTCAGTAGGTAATGGGAATTGCCACCAAGACTAAATAAGGCATCCCTGGAAAACACATGGTGAAAAGACAGAACCTACTCCCACGGGTTGTCCTCTGATGACTGCCCTCAACTGTTTCTTGCCAAAAGGCTCAGCAAATTGTCCTTGGAGCCCAGGATTTTCAGCCTTTCCTGCTACTGTAATTTCAGGGTAAAATCCCTCCACAGGCTCATGTGTTGAGAAACCTACTCTCTATCTGGTACCACGGTCTAGGGAGGATATGGAACCTTTGGGACACCAGGTCTGGCTAGTAGATATTGGCTTCTCAGACAGGCCTTCCATGTTATAGCCTGACCTTGCTTCCGAATTCACCAAGAACAAAGCAAGCCATGCTAAAAGCTCTCAATGCACTGCATATTATATCATTCCAGGCACCGCAGTGGACTGGTACCTGTGAGTCAAACCTAAGCCCTTCTCCATTAAGTTGCCTCTGTCAAGAGATTTTTGGCACAGCAATTAAAAAAGTAACAACTCAGTCAGAAAAGTAACCAACTCAGTCAGAAATTGAGGGGCAAGCTCAGAGTTATGCCTGGCTTTCCAATGGAGACAAGAGAAAAACATCTTTGGAGGCCAGCATGTTCAGTAACAGCCTAGAAACTGCAGATTCTATCAAGGGTTATAAAAAAGTGTATCTGGTCCATATCATTCTTAGTTGGAGCATAGCTCAGGTAAACCTTATCACCCATACCCATCTACTACACACCTAATTCTCAACAATTAAGACATTTTCAGTGCCTCCAATTACTCTCAAAGGAAAGGGAGTGAAATTCAAGGTGTTTTTGTGCCCCAGAGGGGTATGGACTCTAAAGAAGAGGCAGCTTGACAGAGTGAGGAAAGATGAGTGACTTGCCCATGTCAGAAGACACTTTTTATTTTTTCAGGGTTGAAATCAAACCCAGGATCTTGCGCATGCCAGGCCACATATAGTGTAATTCTACTAGAATACATACAACTATTTTAAAGACTTATCTGATTTTCATTTATCTGTGTTTATCTCTGTGTATGTGCCACATGTATGCATGTCCACAGGGGCTAGTGGCAGGCATCAGATCCCCTGGGACTGGAGTTCCAGATGGTTATAAGCAGCCCACTTTGGGTGCTAGGAACTGAACTCAGTCCTCTGGAAGAGCACAGAACAATCTCACTAGAGCAAAGGACTTGTCACAGCAGAGATGTGGGGGATAGCATGTCTCCACACTTTATAACTTCCTATGTGATCTGGTCATTACCATGAACAGTAGGGTATTAAGTGTTAGCCTCTTTAGATCCTCTGAGGAACAGGGACAGGCTGTCCACAAATCCCTCCCAGAGCTGACATTTCAGACACAGGCAATAAACAAAACTGTAATTTTAGAATGTATTTGGCAGTGCCACTAGACTGATCATCTTAGGCCACTGACAAACCACAGCCTGCAATCAGTTTGTAACAAGAAGGTACTGGTCACCTGTAGCCTATCAGTTATAGTACCAAATATGCAGTTTAGGTCAGATAACAATGTGTGTTTGGACACATTTATATGCATGTGTGTGTGTGCATATGCATGTGACTGCATGTAGGGGCCAGAGGACAACGTCAGATGCCATTCTTTAGGCACTGTCCACCTTGGCTTTGTCACTGGCCTAGAACTCAACTAGTAGGCTACATTGGCTGGCCAGGGAGCCCAGGAATCTGCCTGTCTCTGCCTCTCCACTACTTCTGGCTCTGTTGTTGAACAAAGATGCTGGAGATCAAACACAGGTCCTCATTTTTTTAAGGCAAGGCTTTCACTGCTGAGCCATCACCCCAGCCCTAACATGCTTTCTTGTAAGACTTTCTCAATGAAGGAAGCTAACAGCACAGGTTTGCATTCTGTAACAGATAGCTGCTAGATTGGCCACATGAAGCTGCCAAGGGTGCAAATAAAGTGAGCTGATGGTATCAGCCTTGGAGAGGAGTGATGAGGAAGGCCTTGTTCAAATGGCAATCTTTTGTCTGTCTGGTTAGCTTTGTAGTGATGGGGATGAGACCCAGGATATCATACCTTAGCAAATGTTGTATGACTGAGCTAAACCCTACCCCTGAACTAGCAGCCTTTGAAAAATATTTAGGTACAGGCTCAATGGCAAAGGCACTCATTGCCAAGACTGACAAGCTGAGTTTAATCCCTGAACTTCAAAAGTAGAAAGAGAAAATTCTGGTTGTCCTCTGACTTCTACATGTGTGCCTACAAATACATTAAGTTTGATTTTAAAATTTTTACAAATATTTAAGCTTAAAAACAGAAGACATAATAAAAATCCCTCACTGCCCCACTCACCAGGAAAGGTGTGCAGACCCAGGTGAATGTGCCCACAGCCGCCAAATAGGCAGATTTCTTCAGCACCTTCAGCTCCTCCTGCCTGATGTTTAAAACTTTGTCCTGAAACGCCAGCTCCCAGGCATACAGCTTGAGTACTTTGATCCCATTAAGGATCTCATTCATCAGCTTGATTCTGTTGTCTTTGCTCTTCATATGTGCCACCTGCATGGGGGAGGGGAGATCAGCACCCTGGGCCCTAAGGACATCTACAACTAGAAACAGAAGGTGAAAGGGCTGGTCCTGGACCCCATGAGCCACAGTGTCAGCTCCCGGACTATGGCAAAAGACTCAGTCATTATAAAAAGTTAAAACTGCTTTAAATCAAGCTGGATTCAACTGAGAAAACTCAGAGCTGAAGGCTGAAGGTGAGACAAGCCTCCAAGGCATTCAGAGAAGATGGAATGTCACCTTATACTGTTAACCCAAACAAGAAATGAATTTTTCCTCGCTTCCACTTTCCTCTTCCTTCTTTTGCTCCCTCCCACCTATTCTTTCCCTCCTCTAGCTCTTTCTTATGGGGTTTTACTCTGTTTCAAGGCTGGCCTTGAAACCCCACTCCCCCTTCCTCAGCTCCCTAAGTGCTGGACTGACAACACCTACAATTTTTCTTTTTTTCATAACTGGTCATTAAAATGCTGAAACATGCCAGAACCAGGTGGCACTGGTTCTGACCAGCCATGAAAAAGACATACAGTTGTTAGATACTTTAAAACCATCTAGCACATCACCCTTGGCAGACAATTTTCTAAGCATTTCATAAGCCATGCTATGCACAAGCAGGTCAGTACCATGGTCAACCCTGGGTCACAGATGGGGGTGCAACTAAACATGAAAACAAAAGAGAGATAGGAGCAGTTTTGGAGGTAAGCCAATCATGGAAGCCTACTTATTCTAGGACAAAAAGCTGCATATCCCAAAACTGTTGGCTGACCTGCTCTATGACATGAGCCTACAAGGTCACCACTGCCATCCCTATCATAGTTAGGTCACCTAGAGGTCATCAGTGCAGCCAAGGACAGCAAACACCCAACAATGGAGCAGAGAAACATGGGATGAAGAACATGGGATATGAAGAGCACATGATCCATACAGAAAGAACACTAGGCATGGGGTCAAAGGATAAAACCACAAATGTCCACTAGATAAAAACACATAGTGAAAATATCGAGTTAGTGTTTTTATAGTATTCCTAAGTATGTGAACAAGTAAGTTTCTATTTCTGGTGTCTTCTCTTGGGCTCTTTTCCTTCAGTTTGTTTTTTTCAAATTCCAATATGTTAGTTTTTGTTTTATCTTTCATCATTACATTATATTATATTCCCTTAGAAGCCTGTTTGCTTTCTAATGAAAGACAGAAAGAGAGTAGATCCAATGAGAGGGGAAAGGAGGAACTGGAAGGAGTAAGGGAAGAATATATTATGAGAGAAAAAAAAATCTATTTTCAATAAAAGGAAAAAAGCAACTATTAAAACTTAGGAAAAAAGCATATAATTTCATAACAAGCCTAATTATACAGTTAGTTAGAGCTAAATATTACATGTGGAAAGTTCTAGAGGTAAAGCCAGGCATGGTGGTGCTGCAAGCCTGTAATCCTCAGTTTGAGGCAGAAAGACTAAAAATGAGGCCAATATGGATTACAAGATGAGATCAAGAAAGAAAAACAAAAGAAAGACACAGAGAGAGAGAAGGAGGGGGGGGCATGAACCTGGAGAAAGAAAACTCCTAGAAGGATGCACTTCAGTGTGTTCACAGTGCCCAGGAAGGTAGGAAAAAGGACACCATTCCTTCTAACCTACAGTCTTGTGTAGTTAAAAATTTTTATAATAAAAAAGCAGTTACTGTTAAAACACATTTTTAAAAAAGTGTCCCTCAAAGTAAGTGTCAGCACTGCACATAATAAGTAAGCAACAGAGAGGCTGGAGAGATGGCTCACCAATCAAGAGTACTAGCTGCCCAAGTTTAATTCCCAGAACCTACCTACACAGCAGCTCATAACTGCCTATAACTCCAGTTTCAGAGGATCCAACACCTTCACACAAACATACATGCAGGCAAAATAACAATGCACATTAAATAAATAAATTTAAAATAAGCAATCAATGTAAGAAAAATAAAGTTGTTACTAATTTTCTTTCTGTTTTGAGGTGCTAGAACCCATGTCTTTTCTCATGGTAAGCAAGAGCTCCACACCTGAGATCCAGGCCCAAGCCCTTACTCTACTCTTGAAAGTACATCATTATGAAAAATGAATACCAGGACGACACAGAGTGAGGGTGGCAGGGTTCCAACTTCTATAATAGAGTCTCTGCCTTCCTGCTCAGACCAACTCTAGGGTACTGACCATAGCTGCCCTTTGGAAAACCTGCAGAAACTCCAAAACCAAGCCACTCAGATGAGCAGTGTCCCTTTATTATGGCAACTATAATAGATAAGGCTGTCCATCCCAGGCCTGAGCATCAGAAAGCTGGTAGGCATCTGGGAAGACCCAGGTCAGGGCTCAGGGCTCAGCTTCATGGAGATGGACATCTTACCTGGTAGGTCTTGGTCTTCATAGCCATCACAGCATTGAAGGGCACCATAAAGATCATCACAGCGACCCCAGCCAGCACAGAAGGGCCCAGGTTCTAAGGAAAGACAAGTGACAATGAGTCATTCAGCAACCAGAAGCACTCACATCATCTAATGTATACCACACACTTCAGGTAGACCCCACCAAGCAAGTATGGTACCAACTGTCTATTCCTTTTAACCAAAGATGGGGCATCAAGAGTTTTCAGTGTTGGGGTTTTTCCAACCCTTTTAAGAATATGAAGGTAAACTACCCTGTTGATATAATGGTCTTGTGTAATGTATACAATGTACCCTGGCTCATTCAAATGCTGATTTCTCTACCCCACTGTCTGGTTTCAGTCGGGCATTGCATCACCTGTCTCAAGTTTGTGTAAACATGCCATTTGTTCTCTGTATTTTCAATTAAATGACCAGCCAAAGCTGTGCAATGGAGAGAATAGGGTGGGACATCCTGGTTCGGAGGGGAGAAGGAAACAAGTGGGAGGAGAGAGCAAGATCGGCAGGAAAGGTCTTGGAACCACGAGGAGAGATGAACCTAAGCTATAACTAAAAGCAAGTACAATGCGTGAAATCTGAATGGTAGGAAACTATGTGGGCTTGGAGATTTAGGACGGAGTAACTACCTAGGTTAATTAAATAAATCCAATTCTCTGTGTGGTGATTTGGGAATACACCTGGTTTAGAAATAGCCGCTGTTTAACTAAAAGATTAATCAATAATAAATATTAATAACCCACAACAAATGGCACCCAACTAATCTAAGTATCCACACCCTTTAAACCATACTTTAACATAATTTGGTGGAGGGAATAAGCTCCCAGCAATGCAACCCAAACTTAAAACCTAAAAACTCCCAGGTCAATTACTGTCTCTTTAAGAGAGATTCTTATCCTAGAAGCAGAAAGACACACAAGGTATATACTCACTTATAAGTGGATATTAGACATCTAATATAGGATAAACATACTAAAATCTATATAACTAAAGAAGCTAAGCAAGAAGGAGGACCCTGGATAACATGACCAATCCTTACTGAGAAAGACAAACAGGATGGACACTAGAAGAAGGAGAAAACAGGAAATAGGACAGAAGCCTACCACAGAGGGCCTCTGAAAGACTCTACCCAGCAGGGTATCAAAGCAGATGCTGATACTCATAACCAAACTTTGGGCAGAGTGCAGCAAATCTTAGGAAAGAAGGGGAAGATATTAAGACCTTGAGAGGACAGGAGCTCCACAAGGAGAGCAACAGAACCAAAAAATCTGGGCACAGGGGTCTTTTCTGAGACTGATACTCTAACAAAGGATCATTCATGGATATAACCTAGAACCCCATGTTGCCATGGCAGCTCAGTATCCAAGTGGGTACCCTAATAAGGGGAACAGGGACTGTCTCTGACATGAACTCAGTGGCTGGCTCTTTGACCACCTCCCCCTGAGGCGGGGAGCAGCCTTGCCAGGCCACAGAGGAGGACAATGCAACCAGTCCTGATCAGACCTGATAAGCTAGGGTCAGATGGAAGGGGAGGAGGACCTCCCTTATCAGTGGATTTAGAGAGGGGCATGGGAGGAGATGAGGAAGAGACGGTGGGATTGGGAGGGAATGAAGGAGGGGGCTATAGCTGTGATACAAAATGAATAAACTATAATTAATATGTAAAAAATAAAAATTTAATTTAAAAAAAGAGAGACTCTTAAACAGGCCCAGGAGCAAAAGATAGCCTACTGTGGGTAGTCCTGAGACTTAACAAAACTAGCTGTCACTACAGTCTAACAGGAGGGGTACACAAGCATGGCTTCCTTATACTATGGCTCACTCAGCTCATCTCAGCTCAGCTCAGGGCATCAAAAACAGCCATGGGTGGAAAGAAAGGAACTGGAGGCAAACAGAGCTCTAGAGAGAGCTTGGCCTAAAACTGCATCTAAAATAAAAAATGTCATGGCAGAGGATGTTTTAATCCCTTTTGGCTTTGTTTTGGTTGTCATAGTCATGGATCTGGTTGAAATATGTTTAATGGTGATGGCTCTTCTCCATGCTTTCTCCAAGAAAGTTCAAGGAAAAAATGGGAAAAAAATAAAAAATAAAAAAAGAATGGGATACTAAGTTACAGACAATAGAAAGGGCTCTCTTCCTAATAAAAATAAGATTAATAGCGGCCAAAATTCAAAACTCTCCAGCCACAGGATACTTGTCAGCTCTTTCTGGTAAGGGTCCACCAATTCACTGTAACAACAACTAAATTCCAAAAAAATAACCAACTGGGCTTTGCTTGTTAAAGCGTAAATTGACACAACTGACCCAAAACTTAAAATTTTCTTGTCTCTTTACTTGATTTTCATTTAAAGGCTTTGAGTTACAATGATATAGATTTGAGAAAAAAATATTTGAACAAGTTGGTAAAGGCATATTCCTTTAATTCCAACACAAAGTAAAAAGAGACAGATCTCTGAGTTCCAGATCAGCCTAATTTACATAATAGAAGTCAGGATGGCAACTCTTGCTGTTTAGCCACTTGCAGGGATAGTCCAAGATTCAAAATGACAAAATTTTCCTTAAGGTTACTATGTAAGTTCTCTTTTCTTAATAATAGATGTTATGTCCTTACTGATCTAAAGGTTGGATTCATATCACTTTTAGGTTTATATAAGGAGAGATGATGTTACACTGTTCTAAAAAGGCCAGCCAATCCCAAAAACTGGTACTTCTACAGAATTGGTACAAAAGAGCACTTTGGCTTAAGAAATATGTTCTGTTGGTCATGTAAGGACTCAAAATTAGGCTGGGAGACAAACATGCAAACTACATGCCTCCCACATCAAAAAACTTTTAAATGCTGACTAGATAAAGGTATCACACTGCTCTGGAAGCCGGCTTAACCTTTCAAATGTGAGACATTTTCACAGAGGGGAGGGTAAATCTCAGTCATTCTTGATGCAAAACAGACACAAGGGGCTTACAGATGGCAAAATACATGCCAGCCTATTTAAGTCCTAGAAACTCGAATATTGCAATTCATATGTTTAAAGGGCAGAACCATCCATTCCATATAAAAAAAAGGGGTAAGCCAAAGAATAGACACAACCAATGGAAAAATCCAGGTACAAAATGCCTACGGTACACATTAAATGCTAAAGGTAAAAGGGAGTTTATAATATATAAAATTTGGCTATAAAGGCATAACTGCCCATTCTATATAGAAAAGGGGATGAGACAAAAATAGCTACATCATACATAAAAACCTAGGCCTAAACCTCTAAACAGATACAAGATGTCTAGGGTATGCTTAAACTCTAAATTAAAAAAGGAGTTTAGGGGGATCCAAGATGGCGGCACTGGGAGGACACTCTTTCTGACCAGTAGCACAGCAGGATCTGCACAGTGACCAACAGACAGAACTCTGGGCCTTAAAATACCAGCGGTTAAATGTTTCCCAGGTGAGAGGAAACCCTACGGTGTGGGATTCAATCAGCTTCAGATCACACAGCTAAACTGTGGAACTGTTCCCAGGTCCTGCCAGGCGCTCAGGCACCAGCCCAGAGCCTCATGCCCCCGACTGAACTGTGGACCCCATAATACCTGGTATTATACCATAATACAGAGAAAACCATAATACCATAATACAGAGAAAACCCCATGGTGCAGGAAGTGATCAAGACCAACCTTAGGTCACCCAGACAATCCCTGGAAAAAGACCTGGGTCCTGCGGGTGCCCAGGCACCAGCCCAAAGTGGGGTACTTAGCCGCCAGCACAGAGTCCTGCCTGGGCACCCAACTCACCATCCCAGACAGAACTGAGATCCCCAGGGCACCAGAAATTGAGTTTCTCTGTCCCTTCTCCCCCCCAAAAAAAAAGTTATTGGGAAAAGTCCCCGAGTTGCTGCAAGCAGCCAGGCACCCAGTCACTAGAAAGGCAGAGGCACATGCCTGTGCCTGTTTGCTCTACTCACCATCCCAGATGGACCTGCAGACCCCCAAACACCACAGAGTCGGGGAAAACATTGGTTCCAACCCTCAGGACACCAGGCTCCAGAAAAATTTCTGGGTCCCACAGACCCTAAGCTCCGGCCTCCTACTATACAAACACACACACACTCACACACAAACACACACAAATGCTGTGCTCACCTGCCACTGATTACGGCTAGGGTACTGGGGCACACCACTCCAACCTCAGACCTACAAAAGCCTGAGAGCCATTAGAGCAGCCCTCGAATACTGCTCCAAGGTGTGACCAGTTATATCTAGCTAAACTGATGAAACCACGGGACTCCATGTTTCTTCATGAGGGCTGTGCCCAGCAAGTACAGCTTAACAGCAGCAGCAGCAGCAGCACCTCACTAAATTCAGAGCAAGAAACCCAGCAGCAGGACAAACGTCTCCAGGACTTCTCTTGATGAGAGGAGAGCCTTAATGAACACCACAGTAACCACACAGGTCCATACGCCTGAGGTGAACTGTGACAATTACTGAGAAGCACCACCATTCAGTTGACCATACTAAAAAAGCTGAGGAGATCTCCTTCAGAACCCTGCCAAGAGGATTCTCCCACTCCAGGACTCCAGCAGGCACCAGAAATTAACAGACAACACCTGAGATAGAGAGATGGGTAGAGACCAGCATAAAAGAACAACCAACAAAAGGCAAAGCAGTATGACATCCCCACAACCCATGTATCCAGGGGCAAGTAGCACTGGATACCCTAACATAAGTGAAATTCAAAATGACTTTACATCTATGCTTATGAAGAGGTTAATGGAGGAAACAAATAAAATATGTAAAGAGTTAGAAGAAGATAAAATCAAACAGATTATGGCCATCCATAAAGAAATACAGTAAGATGCAGCCAAACAGTTTGTAGCTTTCAGAGAGGAAATGAAATAAAAGAAACAAAGGAATGTTCAAACAAACAGATGAAGGAATTGAAGAAATAAGAGACAGGTGAAGGAAATCAACAAAATGGTTCAAGATCTGAAGATAGAATTGGAAAAATAAAAGAAAAAACAAACGGAGGAAATCATGGAGAGGGAGAACTTAGGAAAGAAAACAGAAACTA